TTCAAATTAAAATCAGGATGCAAAAATGAGTACATCCCAATCAAAGTTCTGAGAGCAAAGCTAAATTTTAGTTTTATCATACATCACCCTTATTTTCATCTTATGGTAAATAAAATGTTATGTTAAACTCAGCTTTGTCAAAACTTTGAAATTCGTACCTTTGCTCATCTAGATATTGAGTAATTCATTACTTTTAATCAGGGGTGTACTGGTCTCCTAATAATCTGCAAATTCAACTCGATGAAAAAGAGGATAGAAAAGACGAAAATAAAATATTTTTTCCACCTTTATAAAGAATTTATTTACCCAATAGGCTGAACTTTCTACTCAAGAACTTTCTACCTTTTTTTGTTGTTTGCTTATTGAAAACCGTTTCTGTTCCCTTGAGTTCAGTCATGAATTTGAGCTACATTATTTAAACTTACTTTTATGTTCAGTCTCCCTGATATTTACTCACACAGGGCACCTTGAGACAAACTTTACTTCCTTGCTTTCTTAGTTTTTACTTTGTTGATGTTTAATTCAAATTCAGCTCTTCCCTCAAGTTATGCGAAGAAAAGTCTACCTGATGTGATCCTCGGTCATGAAAGCGGATTACCTCTGTAAGCTGGTTAGCCCGACTTGCCAAACAACCAATAGAGATGATAAATACGCCGCTGAATGAATTCATTACATGTTATTTTAGTTTTGGAAAGGGTTTAAAGAAGACCACTTTCCAGAGTTTAAGTGCGGAGTCCTGATCTTAACCACAGGCCACAACTTTAAATTCATTTTCTGCAACTAAAAACAAAAATTTATGAGTTAACCTGGAGCGGGTAAACCAACAGTTGGTGTGTGTGTGTGTGTGTGTTTTGTGTGCGTCAGCATGCTTGTGTACACATTCCAGTTGGTTACATGTTGTTCCCTTTCAAAAATACACCAACATTTATGCTGTACGTGTCAAATTGATTACACCTAATCTAAAACATACAACACAATCGCCCACTCATGTCTGACTGTCTGTCAAGCAGGAGCTAGCTTTGGTGCAATAAATCACTCACTGACACACAATGTAATTGGCCGGGGGATGAAATGAAGTGTGCTGGAGTATCTGATGGCCGGAGGGCCAGTTCTTAAGACAGCTCTCACTTTGCTTCCCGGCACATCATAATTACTCTGTTTCCCTACTGGCCTGCAATCCGTCTCCATAGCAATCCATCTTTTGCATTCAGGCAGCGCAGGATCAGACACACACACAGACACGCATGCACATTTCTGCCTTTGCATTCCTCTAAGCCCCCAATTAATCTCTCCAGCAGACCTTTCACATTCATTTCTCACACATGTGCGGATCCACACGTTTATTACAACAGCAAAAAGAGTATCAACCTCGTGTTTTGCTCGTGTGAATGAAACATGCGAGGGACTGGAAACTGGCGGTAATTGAAGGCAATTCATTATGAAAGGTTTTCTGGCTGCCAGGCTGGATGTGAACTTTAATAGCAAACTGGCGAATCCTTGTGGCGACGTTAGGACGAGCGAGTGCTGCAGTGTTTTAATCCATAATGCATCACAGTACATGTCCCAGTCCCAGTGATCACATTAGATCCAATCATTTCCACTTGACACATTTTGAATATTCAAAGCACAGAAATGGTGTAATCATAACTTCATGAATAAAATAGTGCACCATTACAACCCTTATGAAGACTGTAATTTACATTTCATGGTGGGATAACTTGAATGGTAGCCCAGGGACAAGCTTACTGCTCGTTCTCCACTATATAGACTTGTAAGGGAAACTTTTTGGGCTAATTTTGTTCATTTTGTTCATCTCTTATATAATTATTCCCTAAGGCTTTTCCCATTACATCGTTTCATTGTCACGGTTTCAGGGCTGGCTCTTGTTAATGGTGGGTCATTTACTGGTGATATCCTGAGGTTGTGCATGCCAGGAGGACTAGCAGTCATTTCAATGACAGTCACAGCGAACCCGGCGCAATTACTGCCAGTTAAATACTTAGAAAAGGAAGTAATAGAAACGGCAGCGAGAGGAATGGAGAGATCCGCGTTGTGTTCAGAGGGGCTGAAATTCAGCTTATTCTAAAGAAGTTTTACACATTTCTTTAGCCAAATAATTGATATTATTTTTATTGGGGCTGGGACTCGGATAAAAAAAAATTATCTAATTAATCAGAGGCTTTGTAATCAATTAATCGCGATTAATCGCATTTTAATCGCATATAAATATTTGACCTGAGAACAGTGAGAATCTTTTTTTGAAATGGTACACTAGTGAATCACTGAATAGTGAACTGAATGAATACATAAGCTTAAAGGGATATTCTGGCATCGAATTAAGTTTGGGTCAAACACACCGAGTTAGACACCCCGTCGAGAGATGAATGTTGCCACTTGCTGCTTACCGCTTGCTTCTCTAGTTATACCAACTTTAGTGACAACCGCACAATAGCAATACAGAGAGCCACGCACTCAAGCAAAATGCTGCTCTATAGCCACAAATAATGCTCAGAACAGCACCTAACTTCATCAACAGTACATATAGGGTCCAAGCCATAGCACTAGCCATCAAACATCTTTTTAACTTTGACTAATTTCTTTAGCAAAGAGACTAAACACAACTCACCTACTCTCTTCCAGCAGCCGCTCGTTTGTGCAGAGACCTTAGGGCGAGTCCGTTGACTGCAGTGGGGTGACACAGCTCAAGGAAGAACATTTATGATCATTTCTTCATGGAAATGCAATCAGACCGAGACGCTAAAGCAGAAGAATTACCGCGTCTGCAGAGCAAAATGATTATTATGATGATTATTGCTTTAAAGAAATGATATTGTAATAGTTATAAATGTTCTTCCTTGAGCTGCGTCACCCCGCTGCAGTCGATGGACTCGCCCGAGGTCTCGCTACAAACAAGCGGCTGCTGGAAGAGAGTAGGTGAGTTGTGTTTAGTCTCTTTGCTAAAGAAATTAGGCAAAGCTAAAAAGATCTTTGATGGCTTGTACTATGGCTTGGACCCTATATGTACTGTTGATGAAGTTAGGTGCTGTTCTGAGCATCATTTGTGGCTACAGAGTGGTGTTTTGGTTGAGTGCGTGGCTCTCTGTATTGCTATTGTGCGGTCGTTACTAAAGTTGGTATAACTAGAGAAGCAAGCGGCAAAGCTCATAACTTACATTTAGACAAATATTTTTTGTATACAAGTTTTGTGAAATGTTATGTTTGAATATGTAAATGAGGTAATAATCTAATTAAATATGCACTAATTTGCATACATTTCCAGAACCGAAAACTGAACAATGGACAAAACCCCCTTTGAAAATATTGTTTTATTTTGTTGACATACTAGAGTCAGAAGGGGGGAGGAGAGGACTTTGGATATCTCTTTTAATCACTCTGTAAATGAGAAAATACTCTCACCACCCCTATATATTAAAATATCGTTGTGTTTTTTTCAGGTCCTTAAATGACCATTACTCCTTTGTATTCCTTCTAAACATGGAATACTGGCGCCTGATGCATGTTTTGACCTTCTAATATTCTAATTAGCATATTTGTATGATAGAAATGTATGATAATTTTCATGCATTTCCAGCCTTTCGACCAATAAATCACAGTAAGTTTGACTGTGATGTTGCTAAAAGAAAGATAAAACAGAAATTAATCCAAATTGATGTTACTTAGCAAAAAGATTTAGAAGAAAATTACAATTATTTGCAGTAAATGAACTCACAAACCAAAAATGTGCAGTTCTGGATTAGGCTTTCTGTTTCAGAGAGGCATAACATTGAATTCACAGGGTGTTTGACGTAGTCCCAGGCTGACAGAAACCGTATGAAAGGCTTGAATGATGCAAAAAGAGAGCAAAGCATCAGATGTTGCTCTACACTCTGTAAGGCATCATATCCAGTAATAGCGTCTGCTGCGCCGCTCCTCTTTGTTTTTCCACAGCTGCCGCGACTTCAGTCCTGAGATAGAGGTCATGAAAAAAAAAAGAAAAAAAAAAAAACCTCAGTGGAAAAGAAATGGGAATAGAAACTGGAGGAGAGGAGGATGTGTGTGGGGGTTTTTGGCAAACATCAACAAATTCAGTCTCCTTGTGAGGCCTTTGAGATGTGACAGTTTGACAAGTGGAAACCTCTGGGGAGTTGCTTCCCCGTAACCCTGCAGGAAATGAAATATGGATTATCAGAAACTAGCCATGAAGGACGCCAGCGGCCAGCTGTGAACGTGTGCGATGTGTGCACGGAGGAATTAGTTCGCTTATTGCAGATAATGTTGTGTTCTTGACAAGATGGATTTTGCATACGCTCTTATTGGCATGCAGGCACTGTTATGGGGAGCAGCCCTCAACATAGAGGGGCTTTTTTGCATTAGTTACATTATACTCCTAGTTACAGGTCTATAGCAGAAAAAGCACCTTGAGCTAGAAGGTATAAATCATAAAACACTGACGTAGAGTTTTGAGTTTTGAAACCCAGAAGCAGCGATGGCGGGAACTAACTTTGGAGCAGCTTAAACACAAGCCGAGAGGTGTTAAGGTGATGGCAGAGAGCTCCAATGTCAGATTTATCTTGGTCTTTACACCAGAACCCAGTGTGTCAGAGAGCAGATTTTCAATGAAATATTACTGGTTTATTGGTAAAGCCCCTGTTGGGATTGTTTCGCTGGTTTAATGCCTCTTTGTGATCTATAACAGTTTCAGAGCTGGGAGGTAGGTGCCAGCTGAGAGGAGAGCCTTAATTTTGACATTTTGATAGCAAATGTCAGCAGAGGAAGATTTTTGTCAGAAGACACTAGGGTTGTCACGATCCTGAAATTTCAAACTCGATATCGACACCCAGGAAAATACTCGATACCATTTTCGATACGGCGGGATAAAAAATGACAAATACTTTAAAAGGCACATTTTTTTTTTTTTTTTTTTATTAACATGAAAAGTAAAACAGCAGATAAATAATGAATGAAATCAATTTATTAAATATTCAGAAAATAAAATAAATCACTCTTATCACTTAGAAAAAAGTTTTTCCACTGCTACCAATGGGTAGTTGGTAGTTGGTCCTCACAGATATATTCTACCACAGCTCTGTTTAGTTTGACAGTTTCAGGAGACTTTGGGTCAAACTTTCTCAAATAGCAGTGGAAGAGTAGGCTGTCGTATCTTTGGTTCAGTTGCAGGTCGTTTTCGCTCTGCTTCAGTCTGCATCTGCAAGAGAAGACGACACGTTTGAGTCACGTTAGCGTTAGCTTAAGGCTGTTAGCTGCAGGGCCGTGGCGAATGGCTAATGACAAAACAAACAACATTCACTGAGCATAAAGCTAACCCCAGCTACCCTGGATTAATGCTGGCCACCGGCAAGACTAATATCAATAATCAGTTTAATACAGTAAGGTTAAGGATGAACGAGAGCTTTACTAACCTGCCGGAATTCGTCATGAAGGCCACGGTGCCGGTGCCATACTTAGCAGCAGTAAAACTTGCAGAGTGTGCATGGTGGGCGCTGCAGGGATGTGCACCGTAGTATCGATACCATGGCAAATTGGTATTGTATCTGATTACGGCGTGTGAGTATTGATACTTTTGACTACCCTAGAAGACGCAATAAAAATGTGTTTCTTTGACTTTGGGATGTAAAATGGCGATTCATGGCTTTTGCAGACTCTGGAGGAGCTGCAAAGTTTTGCTCTTCTGTGTTGGCTTCATGAGAACAAACCCTTTCAGTCTTTATTGTTCAACCTTTAATATCTTCACAGCTTTTAACAAACTAACATGGAGTTCACATTTCTCCTGCTGACTGAGGTGATCCCCGTAGATCTCTTAAAAACTTGTTCTCATCACTTTAGGATTGATCGTGGTTAGCCTTTTCAGCAGGTCTTGATTTCTGTTCTTCCAAAACTTCAGTTCATGACTAAATCACAGTTGAAAAGAGAAGTAGGCATACTCATGGCTCAGGACCCAGATATAAGTCCCTGTTCAACAAGGTCAGTTCATCCCTTTGCCCCGCGGTCTCCACGGGTTACAGATCGAACCACTTGCCATGAAAGTGACACCATAATTTTATCCCGACTGATCCCACCTCGGCGAGCCGGGCCCTCTTGAGCGAAGCCCCGGGCACTCCAGGAAGCCAAGAAGGTGAACAGTCCTCTGCTCTGAGTCATGAGCCTGAGTGACAGTTTAGCGAGCAGCAGTCAGCTCCCACTCGCCGCTGAAGTGAGAAGAACAGGACGGTGAATTTCTGATCACAAGTCCAGAGATGAATCAGAAGATCAGACACATGATGCACTTTGTTGTATTTTCCAATTGGAGTCAGGACGTTAGAAAAACATCGCTTTGTTAAAAAGATTCGTCATCCCCACGCTCACTCTGCACAGAACTGTCTTCCTTATGCAAATGAGTTTTCAGTTTTAAATAGCCATGACTTTTGTTTCTTTGGTTTTCTTCAAATCTGTTGAAGCTGTACACCACGATGGTTTGGCATATTATACTAACTATAAAATCCAGACTAGAAATCGCACCAGTTTACAAGATTTAGTCTGTTTTGGGTAGTTTAAGACTTCCACTGTGTTCAGCAATGAGCAGTTTGTATGCAGATGTGTAGAGCTTTTTGTTATCACTGCTCTGCTAGCTGCCTGTGCATAAATTAAGAGTACAAGAGGGACCACCATTGGTCCGCCCCACTATGTGTCAAGTAGGGTTGTAAAATCCTAGTTGACTGGTCCACTTATTGGTCAATACGTGCTAAGTCAACCAAAATTCTGCGTCAAATCTATGGTTAATTTCATCAGGAGGAACGTACCAAGTGCTTATGGGGGTGTTTTGAGAGCACCTCCGTTTCATAGGTAACAGCCTGTCTCAGAACACCCCCCTTGTTTTACCAGTTTGGATTCGCAAAACCCACTGGAGACCGGCTAGAGACGGGAAGATCGAAGCGTGCCATTTTAATCAACGTCCGGTGATTTGCTGAATGAAATATACGTGTTTAATTGCCTTCTTGTGCCGATATCAGCATATCTTCATCCCGCCAAGCTGCGCTCCACCAAGCCATGTCGCCCCACGTCGCGGAAGGGTTTGCTGTCAGAGTCAGAAACACCCCAATTCCCACCACCACCATATCAGTCAATTTTTAGTCAAAGTTGTCAGGGTTTTAGTCGACCAAGAAAGATATTCTTAATATCCAGCATCCTTTACTCATCAGCTGCTTGCTTCTTTAAATGCCAGATTTTACTTTAACATACTTGATCTTGAATGCGACCGTGCTACTTTAAGGGGATTTTTCAGTATGTCTAAGATGAGGTTGGATGAATTATTTGTCATTGGTCTGTTCAGTTGCCACAATAGAGTTTGGCCTCTTTACTGCAAAACTTCGAGGGTTGTCTGTGTTTGCGATTTGCCCACAAATAGACCAAAAAGAGGCGGTGAAGTATTGAAAAAGTATTTTGTAGAGCGTACACTTTAACCAAGATTAGCTTTAGCCAGATTAGCTTAAGTATGTTGTAGATTTACTGTTTGCAGAAAGCGGTAGCCTAACTCTCATACGGGTAGCCAATGCAGTTTACAGGGTTGGGCTGAACCTCATCCTTTGTGACCAGTCCATAATATTAATAACTCATATAACACAAATTCAAAAATTGTGAAATATCCCTTTAATGAACGAGTTTTGGTCAGAACACACAAAAACGTTGACGTTGTGAGACAAGAGATGAATTTATGTTTACGCTCAAATGTCAATAATGTCTGTGTTGAATACTTGATTCTGATTGGCTAATGCAGCCTAGCACGATACTAGAAAAATTAAAGTTGCAGAGCTGTATGTAGAAAAAAAAACAGCTGTTAGAGATAGATAATTATAGTTATGTTTGAATTAAGGCACTTTACTGGTTATCAACACTACTTTATGACTTTTAAAAGCAAACAAGACCATAAATGACAAGTCTTGTGATTTCTCAGCTGTCATTTTTAATCCTGATTGACATTAAGGTGACTTGTATATCTGTTTACGTGGGCTGAGTGCCTGCTTCCAGACATCCTACACTAAACATCAGACAAAACACACACACATAGGAACCTCTGTATAAATCTTAATGCATGAAAAAGCAATTCAAAATCAAGGCAGCGATGGTGGATCAATAAATCAACACTAAAACTGCTGCACAGAGAGTCAAATACGGTCCGAACCGTTCTGCAGCCACTTCTAAAATCTGGTAAGGGGAGAAAGTCGACATTAGTTTGATTTGATGTTCTCACAATAAGACAGATAACAACAATTTCTACCGTTTTGTTCAAGTGCACCTGAGATTTCTTACTTCAATGTTGCCACTCTGTCTCTTTCTGTTATACTCGAGCAAAATGTCACTCCAGTGTCCTCTGGCTGAGTGGTTCTGCTCTGTTGTACTGAATGTCGCACCGCTCCTCTCTGCATCAGTGGACAACATCTGGCTCGGTGACCTCTGAGAGGTTTCAACGGCACCTTCTGTTGTTTTGGAGAGAGTGTGCGAAAGAGTGCCCTGGCTCTGGCTCCGGATACGTGAGCCTCTTTGTCATGCATGCGTGCAGCCGTCTGGTAAAACACCCGTCATGAGACCTCACGTTTGCTCGTCCTCGCACTCCTCGCCTCTCTCTCCCTCAGGCCTCCGTGCCCCAGCCGCCACAACCTGCAGATGAAACAGAATATTAAGTCAATGTAAATAGGCATTTCAGCCCCATCTTCTCCCGACAGCCCTGCATTTCCCTTCCGTCTCAGATACTGAGTGTGTCGAATGGGCGCCGAACGGGAGGATGGATCCGAGGGAGAAATGTGCATGAGGAATGTGGAACGCTGTGCAGCGGTTAGAGAGATAAGTGGCATTTGTGTTTCCTCCCGTGGCTAATTATGCTATTTATACCCCGGCAAAGGAGGAGATGCTCTGAGCTGCTACACCAAGATTAGTATTCTCGCTAACATTGTTTATCCTCCTGAAAGTGATAACAGCTCACACCTCTTGCTTTAGGGGTGATATTCGTGTTCCTGTTGGTGTGTATGGTTTCCCGTACCTGTAGCTGGATGTGAGTGTATTTATTTGCTCAGTTTTTCCAAGTACAATTAAATCATTTCAACCAGCAGATTTTTATTTGATCATAAGTCTAAGAAAACTGTGAAACAAATGTTTTAACAACTCTGTCTGCAGCTGCTGCAGGGCCGCCGCCCTCCTCTTCACGCAAAGCAGCTGGAGTAAACACAGCCAGAGTTTAGAGCAAGTCCTGTTGGTTAAAAATCATAATTCAGTAAAGGATAAAAGCTCATTAACTAACTATTCAAGGTGGGGTCGGGTCAGTAAAATGAGTGTAAGAGCCGTAACTTAAGTTGAAGGGTAATGCTCCTCCGAGTCACTAGGGGGCAGCCAAGAGGGATTTCAATGGCAGCTAAGACTCGCCTCAAGTGTTTAAAGTTCAGTGGTTATTGTGTCAGTGATGCTGAAAACAGTTTTTGACCGTGCTCTGATTTAGGATTTTTAAAATGTATGTTTTTTGTTTTTAATCATCAATCTCTGCTTAATGGTACGGTGGCCGAGAACCGCCACTGCTTCAAATAAAAAATAATGTAATAATAAATCATAAATAAATAATCATAAATCCAGGAAGCCTAATCATAAATTATATGTACAGTAAGTATTTACAAAACACATACTAGTTAAGTGAGAAAAACATGCTGACAAAGATGGACTTCAACTGTTATTTCTGCACCTGTTAAAAATCCCAAACATCCATAAAAATATCAAATTTAACATGAATTTGACTCATTAGTAGGTTAATAAAAATACTGTTGGCATATAAGCACTACAACCTGATAAACCACCTTTTTTAGCTGCTTAAATAAATCATCTTAAATAAACGATTCACCTTCAATTAACAGTAATATCAAGTTGTTTTTACTTTTAGTAGGTAAGCAGAATTCTTCTGTCAGAGTGGACACGACCCCTCTGCTCCACATCGAGATTTTTCTCGCTTTATCACCCTCTTACATTTGCATAATCCCTTACACACCAGGTCTTATCCAGTATATCTCACGGACGTTTTTCCTCACTGTAAACTTGGTCAGCCTGCTGCAGCTGCAGTATCTATCCGTTTATCCAAAGGTAATAAATAAACACTTAAATGGGAACTGTAGCTCCCTTGTACAAAGAATCGTAAAGCTGACTTGAAAAGTACTTTAGATTAACACTGACGAGTTTATATTCCCAGTCCTGGTGCTTAAAGCATGAAAAGAAAAAGAAACCACTAATTGAACAATCTTTCATGAAACCTTAGCTAAAGATTATTCTCTCTGAATAAGACTTTTCTTGGTAAAAATCATTTTAAATAAATAAGATCATATTTAAGTGGACTGTTACCTAAATGAATGATTCAGTCAGCTCGCAGGGTCAGAGTAAATGAAGCCAAGGTCGTCTCCCTGAAGGAAGCTTTCTCAGCTTTGGCAGGAATATGGCCGCCCATATATTGTAATTACAACTGTGCTGCAGACGAACCAGTCCCTTCAGGATTTGGCAAGCTGTTCAGTGAGGGTTGTTACACATGCACAATGCGAAAAATGTTGTGGCGACTGCGTGTTTCGTCTTTGTATGACAAAAAAAAACTTGATCTAAATAAGTGAATCTGGGAGGAATTTGCAAAGACCTTCATTCTTTCAGTCAGAAAAGCGAAAAGTTAAAGTGCTCTGAACACCTCTGAATGCCAGCTACGTTTAAAAGCTTTGAGCCTTTAGGAAAATCAACCTGTTATTCACCGTGTTTACTTGTTAAATCGGCTTTTCCATCAGTATCAGATTATACTAAAACCTTAAAACATAATGAGACGGCAGCTTTCAACACAGACGCATCAAAAATAATCCCCAGAATAGAGGAAATATTGGATTTTTAACGACTGATTCACTCATAAATGACAGTTTGGTTTAGTAAGTTTCCTACATCTTTGTTTTATTGATCTATAAATGTTAAGATGGGGAAAAAAAGGGTCTATAGGCATGCATGCAGCTGTGTCAGGCGAAGACGCAGCTGTGCTTTGAGCTAACAGACATAAGACATCCTCGGGGAAAGTTAGGGGATATTTTAGCAAGACAATGTTGCGCAGCTGTTTGTTTTTACACAACATTAAGCTTTTGAGAGCTTGACCCTTTCTGTCACATGAAAACAAAGAGCTTTGACTCGGTAAACTTTGTAAAAGTTGGCTTGTCAAAAAGAGTTATGGTCCTGACATGATGGAGGTTTCAACCACAAGCTCACAACCGCACATACAGCCAGTACGATGACACGCACTTGAAACAATTGATTTATTCCAGCAGTCTGAATAAAACAAGAATTTTAAAATACATAAAACCACGAGAGTCTGACTGAAATCATGCTAAATTGAACTTCTCATAAGTTGCGTTTACATGGGCTCAAATAACGGGAATAAAAATGCAGCAAGTAAACATGTCGATCGGAAGATTCTGATCCAATTTGGCTCAATCGGAAAGAAATTGTTTTCCGATCAGGAGGAGTGGTTTATGCCAACCATTATTCCGAAAGGTGTCCACTTAGTCCAATCGTGACTCTCTGTTGCAGCTAAACTAACCTGACTGTGCATGTGTGCCCTATGATAACGTGCACTTAAAAAGATTGATTCATTCCATCAATCCGACTAAAACTGGATTTTTAAAATGCATTAAAACACGTGAGTCCGACTGCAATCGCACTGAATTGAACTTCAATGGAACAAAAATGCGTCTTGTAAACATGTAGGTCGGAAGATTCTGGTCCAGTTTGGCTCAATCGGAAAGAAATTGTATTCTGATCGAGAGAGGTGGTTTATACCGATCGTTATTTCAAAACCTGTCCATGTAAACACTTATTCCGATCTTGACTCTCTGTTGCGCCAAAACAACATAACGCATTTCCACCGTTAGTGACAAGAAGTAAACATGGCGGGATCCAAGAGCAATCAGTCTGTGTCTCAAACAACTTTCTTAAGCTCAAGGAAAAACATTTATGATCATTTCTTTATCATTTCCATGAAGAAATAATCATCAAATTAATCATTTTGCACTGCAGACGCCAAAGTTCTTCTGCCTTAGCGTTTCGGTCTGATTGCATTTCCATGTAGAGATGATTTACACCGGAATATCCCTTTTAACAAACTGATGTGATGTAGGCGTGACAAACAGACTTATTCTGCAGAGTGATTTTACAGATTGAAGTAGCCTTTTCTGGATGTTGGAGCTCTGAATAAATCATGATATACGAGTTGATGGTTTTTGCATATATTACCTCTGCATTGGTCAGAATCCTCATTAGGGGATGTTGGAGCCTTAATAAGGATAAATCAGGCACCTTTAGTGCAGCAGTGTGGAGGATGTCCTTGGGCAGCAGACGACCATATGTTTTACATGATCTCACAGCTGGAGACCTGAGACATCCAGACCCAGTCCGGGACAGTTTGAGACTTTTTTGTACAAATTAAACCTCCTGCATGTCCTCTCAGCTTCTTCCAGCTGTCACTCTGCCATAGTTTGTGCGGTAGAAGTTAGATAATTGACTGCGTATCAGCTCACTGAGTCATGTGGTCTTATCAGCTCTTTGTGTACAGCGAACAGGACAGATCATCCCGCAGCCACGAGAGAAGCTCATTGTCTCTGAAACTGAATTTGCAATCCGCGCAGAAACAAAGTGGGTTACAGCGCGAGATTTCAAAACAAAATCCCATTTCTTCGCCCAAAAAGCCTGCGACAAATGAATCATGCCAGAGATTTTCATTTCAGTCCTCTCTCTTCCCTCCCTGCCTTCTTTATTTGAATGTGACGGAAGAGTAAAGCCTCTGAATGCCTTCTTAAAAAGCAAAACATGAGGAGGTTTGGCTCAGGCGAACAGGAATCACAGCAAATCGTTCGTAAAATTAAACTGTAACAATATAGCGAACACAATTTAATTTTATGTCAGGGCCATAAATCGTGTCTCCTCTACAAGAGCGCCTTTTGTTTTCATGTTGTCTGGGTTTGTTTCAGCTTCTGAGCACAATTCAATCAAGCGTTGCAGGTGCATGAAGCTGAGACGACCGTTGTTTGGGAGACAATAGCGAAAACACAAATTGGATTTTCCATTCGCTTCGACAATTAAACAGTTGAGCTGTTGATTAACAATTTTCAATTTCCTCCTTCCACAGCTGCGGCTGCTCCCTCTATCCCTCTGTCTGTCTATCTATCGTGAGTTTTTACACTGAAATCCATCATGTTCGATACATTTTCACAGCAAAAACTCACTCTTTTGTGCTTGATTGTTAATTTTCTATCGCCGTCTACTCATAATGTAATGTTTCAATCATGTCGGGGCTTAATCTAATCATTAGATATCACGTCTTCTCCAGATTTGTGTATCACATGCTCATATTTTATGCAGATTTTGCAGCAGTGAGGTGTGCTTATACGTACAGCATAATCATATTAGGGCATAATAATTGTAGCAGCTGGATCTTTGATGCTGCAGAGTCTTAAATTAAGATTATATTCAGTCTACAGCTGAGCCCCTTATTCGGCTGGGCTTGCAAACAACTTTAGAAAAGTTTGGGTCGAAGTTCCTGAAGTTTCTAGAAAATATGAGGAAGCAACATGTTGACTCCACTGTCACAAAGAGACTGCGTTTTAGTAAATGTATAAAATTTGGGCGAGGTTTCTCTAAATTAAATGAAAGCCATTCGCTTTATGATTGAAAACGCACTGAAAATAATTGTGGCTGCAAAGTTAATCTGCAATTATATCT